AATTTTATAAGGTATCATATAAAATGAGTAGCCACGAGTGTATGGACGACGGAATGAGATGCAAAATTATCGGTAGAGTAGATGCAGACCAATAGAGCTGATAGCTACAGAGCCCAATGTAACGCTCAGTGTCGTCTGCAAGTTATGGAAACAGTTTTATGACACTGAATTCAAACCTGGGCAATGTCGACCAAGATCCATAACCACGAATGAGGATTGTTATTAAACAATTTCATCACTGTGACACAGGACTGCTACAACTCCATAGCTCTCACATGAGCTATATGCTGCGAATGGAACACCCAGTTTCATGATCTATATGAAGTAGGGCTGTATGCCAGAAGAGTCCCCCCCCGGGGGTTGACCATGGAGGTAGGAAAGGGAGGAGGGGCCATTCCGCGCTAGAAGTGAAGCACTGCTTTGAAGCTTGGGTCACCAGACGGGGCGTTCTTTGTTTACATTCAGAAGCTCGCTTGACACGATTTTGATAGTATTTCGACACACGACAGTTCCATAGAAATCGAAAAAGGGACACTCTCGCATGAAAGAAACATTCATAGTGTGATGGATAATAGCAATTTGTATAGTTTACTGACATTTACGCAAAAATCACATCTTGGTTATTTTTCGATAACTAACAACAGCGATTTTGATTATGAATTTGTTTTATAAAATTCTAAGCTGTTGTACTACAAAAATATAGATTTTAAGAAAATTTCTAAAAAAGATCTGCCAAAATTTATTTTCTAGAAGATTTGAAAAGTTTGAAACTTGATGGCTAAATGTAAATATAAAATTATGTATGTTAAAATATTTGTAATTAGGCACATAGGTCAGATAAAGTTTTTATTAAATAGATTAACGCATGCAAGGGCTATCTGCCTAAAGAGAGAGATGCCATCGTGGAGGAATTTTGAAGAAAACTGACCTTTGAGTGGGTATTAAAAATAATACTTATAATTTTCATTCAGATTATATTCATATATAATTTTTATGTAAAACTTTCGGGTGTATGCTAAATTAGTGTAAATTACTTTACACGAAAAATATAGTGAATGCACAGAAATTAAAGATTTGCACATGCCGGAAATGAAAAATAGGAAATATGTATGGGTATTTATGCATGTGCTTGCAAAAAGCATGTACCTGCCTTTGACAAAATACTTAAATATTCATTAAATTATTTATAAATGTATTTGAAATGAAGAATTTATTCACTTATAAACAACTGTGAAAGTACTGTGAAGAAATCTAATGATTAAATGTATCTAATTTATAATGATTATAAATGTTATCTAAATATATAATAACCTTAATATTGAATTGTAAACATAAATTGAAATCCTGTTGACAAATACGTTATAAAACTATTTAAGCAAGAATTGTTCGTATTGGAAAGCAATCTGTTAAAAGGTATTGTAAAGCAAATGCTATGAGATGCGCACTTAAGAACGTAATAAAGAGTTTTGGAATATGTATTGTTGAAATGAAGGGTAAAAAAAAAAATCTGATAAGTATAATTAAAAGAATTATTCCCTTACATTTTATAATAACTCAGTTACAAGTTTTAAATAATACTTAAAAAAAAACTTATTTTATTCCCTTTCAGAAATGTTCAGAGAAAGTCAAGTACTATTTAATACCTATTTAATTATTAGGAATTAGCGAACTAATAATTCTCTAATTTAAAATGAACCGAATATAGCATTAATTATAAATTGACTTACATTTTTCGATTTAAAAGATGCCTCAGAAGCCAAAAAATCATGTCATATTTAAGAAAGTATTTTAGGAAGAAGCTCTATAAATAGAAAAGAAATAATGCATAATTTTAATATTAATAATACAATAAACTTTGATCTTAATTTTTGTACCTTAACCGAATAAAATCGAATTACCTTAATTTTTTTTTCTAATGTAATTAACGAAAACTTGTGAAAATATTTCATTCAAATTAAACCATTCTGAGAAAACTGTCCTGTGAAAAGTATAGCATTTAATTCCGTTCAGAATGAAATGTTGTTTAAAAATATGTTGTTTTCACATACTTAGGACTCTGAAGTGTTGTAGAAAAAAAAATATATACATTTATATGTATATTTACGACGTAATTACAAAATATTTACATCCGAACGCGTCAAATCCCATTGAACTCAATGGTAAATGACCCAAGTGTTTTGGTCACCACGTAGGGATCGCCGGTGCTTCAGAGCAGGGTACGGGAGAAACTTGTTTAGGGCGACTCCATCTTACTTCCTACCTCCATGTGAAAATCTTGTTTGGAGACCATTTGGCGCCCCTCTGCGAGCGGCGCCTGGGGCATCATACACCCCCTTGCCACCCCCTCGCTACGCCACTGTGGCGAAGATAACATAAGCCTTAGACCAGACCTTAGTGGATCACCGTGAGTTTTATAGATGAGTCGAGATTCTACCTGGACTCTGATTCTCGGCGTACTTGTATTAATAAATTTTTACTGAAAAAGTAGGAAGGAAACTTAAGCATTTAAAAATCGAAAATGAGTAAAAAATTAATGCAACTTATAGCACTTAATAGAATTTTAAATTTTAATAGTTAATTAACAAAGATTATTAATAAATTAATGTTTTTTAAAAAGTTTTACTGATAAATTTTCATGAAAATTACAGTCTAAAAATGTTTAGAGAAAGGAAGATAAGTAACTGCATGAGGTTACCTATATATAAATTGCTTTTTTAATTAATTACCAAATTATTTTCTTTCGGGTTTGTTAATCTGTTATTGTTTTGTTTCCGTTTATTCCTAAAATGCCCTTAACATTTTCACCCTCTTTCCTACTTACGGTCCCAAATCATTATGCGAAAATGCATTTATAAAATTTTAACATTAACCTGAAAAACGCATATGTGCGATGTTATCATCATGCCATGATTTGTAGGCACTTTATTTTTTACCACGATATTTTCGACTACGGTGTTTTTAAACTGCTTTATTTTCGACAACGATATCTTGTATCATGATGTTTTAGAACTGCGATGTTTTCTCTTTGCTTTCTTTTCTCCCACGATGTTTTGTACCACAACGTTTTCGCCTTGCGTTGTTTTTTCAGCGACGATTTTGCCATGATGTTTTCGGCTGTAACCAGATTTGGTTATTCCATTTAATTAAATTTGGTTAAAACCATTTTCCTATGAATTTATGCAAAATGGAAGTACCGAAGTTTCGAGTAGATGCAATGTGAACTAGATCTTTGAGTTTTGAACTAACACTACATATCATTAACTTCTCGTGTATCCATTTAGAACACAGTTCTTCATCTTTTTATTGTTTATGGGTACTTTTCGGATATGCATCTGCCACGTATTTTGGCAGTACTATAGTAATAATATGTATGTGTGTGTGTTGTTTAATTCTTTTTTTTTGGTGTGTTTAATTTTTGTTTGTTTTACACACATACACACATATCTCCCCCGGATGGCGCTATCGTTAGCACTCGGCATGTTTTGGGCTTCTCGTTCACAGTTGCCAAAAAGTGTTGTAGGTGTGTAACGGAAAAGTAAATGTTTATCTAATATTTTAGATGAAAAGTTGATCTTAGCAAAAGCAAATTATTCATCCCTATATTTGTGAAATAAGCAGTTTTAGTACATTATTTTAAATCTGTGCATGAAATATAAAATTTATTTACTACATGAAATAAAAAAAAAAAAAATTAGAACCTGAAACAAAAGTCATTATGGGAGTGTCGGTCTGGAAATTGATGGAATTGTTATCTTTCTGTTATAAAACTATTTGAGAATTGCTTTTCTTCAATGAAATGCAGTTAATTGAATCTGGTAACTGCGTTCTGCTCATAAGAATGAATTCAGTTACGTGTAAAATGAGAAAAAGGGAATTATAATACTCTGTGTTGTTGAACTGATACATTAATAATTGCTCTTGCATCAAGGCTACTTAAAATAGATTCAGGAAAAAGTCATATTTGAAGTTAATTTTTTGTCCTGAATTATTCCTACATCACTATGTATATATTTAAATAACATGTATACTTCTGTTCGTCTATGTGAATCATATGTACAAATTTAAAATAACTATTAACATTAGTAAATTCATTGTAAGCAGTCAAGAAAATAATCATTCTTTAATTAAGTAAACAAAACATATGATAGACATAAAAAACATATGTTATCCTAACATTATTTACTAAGTATATTTACAGTAGAAATGAATAAACAGATGATATTTTGTAAATGATATCAGGTTTATAGAGGACTTTAAAATATATATAATTAATGATTTTAATTTAAATTTTATTCCTGTGAAAGAGCGTATCTCATGTTTTTCTCTTTATTAACACTTCAAAGAGGTACTATTTTTTCAAATTAAAATAAAAACATGTCTTGGCAAGACAAAAATCGGAGATCTGATAATGGCTCTGAAAGAGACCGAGAAAGAAAGGAAAGAGTTTGGAAGCAGTATCAGCCATCTTCCTTGGGGAATGCTGCCACTGCGAGAAGTAGATTTTTAATTTATATTCATTGTATCCTATGGCATAGCAGATTCTCAGATTGTTACCATTTGACAAAGCAGAAAATTTTTAATTTATATTTCAAACATAATTAAACTTCATTGATTAATAAACTCAACTATTTAAAAAAAATAAACGTTTTTTAATAACTTAAGGTTTCATTTTGTTTTGATATATTTAATTTGAAATGTAATAATAAATTGATAATTATTTACTTATATCTGCTCTCGTTCATTCTGTATTTAAATGGTGATATTTTGCATATTTAGAAATTTTGCGTATTGCATGGATTAAATTTGCAAATGCGTACATATCTTTCTTATGCAAAGTTTGCATTCTGCATAAGACAGACCTTCTTCAGACTATTTCGAAATGCTTAGAACGTTTTACCAAAATTAAAGCCAATCTAAGTTTTAAATTTTGATGAATCTTAATACTCAAGATAACGTGTGTTCTCTCTATGGAAAGTTAAACAGTTTAAATAAAACAATTGTTACTCAAAAGTGATTCAAAGAATTTCTTGAATCTCTTTTAATCGTTTATTTTATACATATATTTGTCTACAGATAATTAGGCTGAAGAAATTTAAATAGAAGAATTAAGTTTGTAAGTTCCTTTTCTTTCATCGATGGTGGAAACTCTAATGAATGATGACTACCGTTCGATGAAATTTATCCTTAGAGGTTTATCTGGAACATTAATCATTCGAGTCAGCATATCAATATCTTCATAATGGTATTCCACTTTAAAATTTCTTATTATCTGTAAAACAACATAAATTTTATAAATAACTGTTACATAAAATTTCTACAACAATGTAGGGTACAGAATTGGTATTTTGCTATTGAATAAATGACTGGTTATATCAGTAGTGAGAAAAATTTCATCTATGACAGTTGATTTTCATATTCAAATGAATACTGGGTTTTCGGAAGAAAAAAGGATGAAAATGGAACTAAGCTCTTTGCGGGATTCGGATCACATACCCGCTAGATGTGTCTATCGCTTAACACATCTAGCTGGCATTATATTATTTATTATTACAATCAAGCTAAATACCTAAACATGGTGAAATTACTAGTTACTATAAGTTATGTCTCTAAGTAGAGCGTATTCCTGTAGAACTTATATGACAAGAAATTTGAACTAGATACGATGTTACTTTGCGCTCTGTGAATTATGTCAGTTATCCAATTTCACTTCACTATATATTCTTTTAATAGTAGATTACAAAAATTGGGAGGAGAAGGAGAGAGATTAAAAGCCTAGAATTTTCTTAGTAACTGAAGTCATTTAGTAACTCAGATGCGAGTGTTAAGAAATTAACCTTAATGTAGAAATATTCTTAAGTTTTCAAGGAATGAGACAACTGAAGATAATGGTGTTGGTGTATATAATTAAAAAAAAAAAAAAAAAAAAAAACAAAAAAAAAAAAAAAAAAAAAAAAAAAAAAAAAAAAAAAAAAAAAAAAAAAAAAAAAAAAAAAAAAAAAAAAAAAAAAAAAAAAAAAAAAAAAAAAAAAAAAAAAAAAAAAAAAAAAAAAAAAAAAAAAAAAAAAAAAAAAAAAAAAAAAAAAAAAAAAATTAAAAAAAAAAAAAAAAAAAAAAAAAAAAAAAAAAAAAAAAAAAAAAAGCACACTAGGGCTATCTGCCTAAGGAGAGGAATGGCTTCGTGGAGGACTTTCTAAGGGAAACTGCCATGGGGAAAACCACGAAAACACCCAGCCCGTTCGCGGGATTCGAACCTCGGACCGAACTACCAGCGTTCAGCGACTTTACCGCTCGGCCGCTGGTGGGCCCAACTGAAGATAATGAGCTTCAGTATACTAAATAAAATAATTAATGCTTTGAAGCTTAATCCACGCATTAATTTTATTCTAGTGAATCTCTATGACTTGTATTTAACTATTTTTTTTTAATATTATTACTTCCAGTAGTAGGCTATTCAAGAATAAAAATAATAACCACAAGTTCAAAAGAAGTAGCAGTATAAGAGGGACAAAAGAGTCAAATACAAAATTAGGTGACAAAAATATAAAAAATAATTTTTTGTTCATTTCTTCGCATTTTAATACCGCTACAGAACCACGGGCTTGAAGATAGGTTTAACATTTGGCACCGTCCATTTTTACTTGGAAGTATTTTTTATATGTAAAGTGTGCTGTAAATAAAATTTGTTGACGAATATTCTACAGACGCAGTGATTTCTCTTTGAATCAACAATCTTTTAACATTTTAATATTTTATATTTTTCAATATAAAACGTAAAACTGAAATAGAATTCGTTATACAGAACAGCAATACAGCATTCGATTTGCATTTCTTTGAGTTAAACTGCAAATTAAGAGTCAGATACCTTTAAAACGTTAAAATATATAAAACATATATCCCAATTTAAAGCTCAATATCTTTATAACTGAATGGTTTTTGATCGCGAAATTTTGTATACTTAATTCAATATCCTTAATACTGCATTTGGTCTTTTACTTTATGTTCCATCTGTTAAAATATTTTAAATAAGGCAAAAATGAAATACCCTCTTCCTCATCTATAATATATATTGCACGTAGCATTCATTATACATAAACAAATTCTTCTGCTTAGCTGAATTTTGTTTCAGATTAAAAAAATAATAAATGATTAAAATGACCTATTCTATAAATAATCTAATTATATTTTCTTAAAAATAATATTTTTTCAATTTTGTAGCCCCCAATCAGTTATATTTTGACATAAGGCCAAATGTAATTTCTAAAGGTTTTATGCGAAAATCATAGTAGTAGGCCATAGAGAGTATATGCAATTGATTAGAAGTAGAGAAATTATACTTCCGAGTAATTTTTACTAAAAAAAAAACAGTTATCTTCAAATCCTATTTTTGATAGCAAGAAATGTGAAGAATCAGCAATGACCTCGCCGGGACTCAAACCTCAGACCTCTCGAATACGCGCCGAGTGTGCTGGCAATTACCTCACGAAGGCATGGTAAGGATGGCGAGAGAAATACCTAATACACTCCCCCTTTTAAAAAGCAACTGGTGATTAGGGAACTTAATCGCCAAATCCTGGTGGTGAAGAATCATCATTCACCACCTTTTTAGTTCGGGGGCCACTGTAGAGACATTAGATATTTTTGGTAGCTGGAAACGTGAAAAATCAGCAATGCTCTCCCCGGGACTCAAACCTCGTACCTCTCTCGAATACGCGCCGAGTATGTTGACCATTATATCACGAATGCATGCTAAGAAGGCGGGAGAAAAAACTTATAATATTAATAAAGAAGTATAAAAATATATTTATAGGTTACAGTTTGTAAATAAGCATAAGTATGTATTTAAATAATATACCATAAATAATCACGAGAATTTTAGTCGGAGCAGTTAAATTTACGCTTCAAAATTTCCAAGCCATTTCAGATTTACACTGAAGTGACAAAAGTCATGGGATACCTCCTAATATTTTGTCGGTCCTCCTTTTGCCCGGCGAAGTGCAGCAACTCGACGTGGCATGGACTCAACAAGTCGTTGGAAGTCCCCTGCAGGAATATTGAGCCATACTGCCTCTATAGACGTCCATAATTGTGAAAGTGTTGACGGTGCAGGGTTTTGGGCACGAACTGACCTCTCGATGATGTCCCATAAATGTTCGATGGGATTCATGTCGGGTGATCTAGGTCGCCAGATCATTCGCTGGAATTGTCCAGAATGTTCTTCTAACCAATCGCGAACAATTGTGGCCCGTCGGCATGGCGCATTGTCATCCATAAAAATCCCATCGTTGTTTGAGTATGTGAAGTCCATGAACGGCTGTAAGTGATCTCCAAGTAGCTGAAGGTATCCATTTCAGTCAATGATCGGTTCAGTTGCACCAGAGAATCTCGGTTGTTAAGTTCATGCCATGTGAAAACAGCCCAGACCATTATGAAACCACCACCAGTTGTTGACAACTTGGGTCCATGGCTTCGTCAGGTCTACGCCACACTCGAACCCTACCATCAGCTCTTACCAACTGAAATCGTGACTCATCTGACCAAGCCACGGTTTTCCATTCGTTTAGGGACCAACCGATATGCTCACGACAGTCGCTGCAGGCGATGTCGTGCTGTCAGTAAAGGCACTCGAGTCGGTTTTCTGCTGGCATAGCCCAAGGAAGACAAATTTCGCCGCACTGTCCTATCGGAAACGTACCTCGTACGTCCCACATTGATTTCTGCGATTATTTGACGCAGTGTTGCTTATCTGTGAAACACTGACAACTCTACGCAGACGTCGCTGGTCTCGGTCGTTAAGTGCAGGTGGTCGGCCACTGCGCTGTTCATGGTGGGATGTTATGCCTGAAATTAGATACTCTCGGCACACTCTTGACCCTGTGGATCTCGTAATGTTGAATTCCCTAACGATATCCGAAATGGAATGACCCATGCGTCTAGTTCCAACTACCATTCCGCGTTCAAAGTCTGTTAATTCTCGTCGTGCGGCCATAATCACGTGAAAGCGTCTTCACATGAATAACTTGAACACAAATGAAAGCCCTGCGAAAGCACTTCGCATTTACACATTTTCTACGTGATACTACTGCCATCTGTATATTTGCATATTGCTATCCCATGATTTTTGTCACTTCAGTGTATATGTAGCTTTAAAATTTCATATGCTAGAAGCACAACTGACCATTTTATTCAGATGCAATCTTTATACAATTAGCCAAAATTTCTTGAAATTCTTATCAGCAAGTTTAGAGAAATCCTAGACAAAAATCAAGTTTTTATGAAATCTTTAAGTGAAAAAGAAATTGCTTTGGAAACTAGGAAGTAAGTTACTTTCTCAAAATTAAGCTATATATAAATGCATTTGCTAGTTAGTTAACTTTTCTATCACGCATAACTATATATCTGTATAAAACTGTATAACGAAGTATTTTATGTGTAGTTCGAAATTTATGAAATATGAAGGATTGTATCCAGTTTACTTCTTTGAAAACAAAAAAGGTTTTTTTTCATATTCGGATTTTTACTTAAACGGATGTAGGGTTTATATTTATTTTAACTAACATTTATTTTAAGTTTAAACTATCTTTCCTGTCAAGCCTTACTTTCCCCTGGAACTGCCAATGCCAGAATATGTAAATTTGAGTAGAACGCGCAAGGATTCAAATTATCAGCGGAAGTATTATGATTTAAATAGAAGGAAACGAGTTCGGTGGTGTGTGATATTCTTACTTAGCGAGCGCGGAGGTAGTTAGCGAGAATTGAAGAACCCCGCGTTGCGGCCTATGTGCTTGGCGGGAAGTAGTGTGGTAATCGTTCCAGTGAGCTTCAAGTCTGCTGAATTAGCAGCGGTATTGTAAAACGCGGTGAGTTGAGTTAGTTATTTTAGAGAGCCTCGTAGTTAGAATCTTGTCTTTACTTTCTTTTCAGGTTATTATTTTTATTTGACTGCCAAGTTGGCACAGTCTGTAAGCGTCAAGAGGACGCAATTGTAATTTATTACGTTGAATAAAAAGGGACTTAAACCCTTCACAAGACTCTATCTTTTATACAAGTTTTCACAGTCACCTCTTGGTTGCGTGCAAGTTGGAGGCGCGCAACGTTATATTGGCGCCCGAACACTTATCGAACTGAAATGGCCGAAAACTGGATGGAAGCCGCTGGACAACACCAAGAAATGACAACTCAGTTAGAAGGATTTGGATACCTGGTCCAGACTTTGAGAGCATCAATCAAGCCAAACGTCCATTTCGACGGAAAAAATTCGGTGGCGGTATT